CTGGATTGTGGGTTCAGTCTGTGGTCTGGGCATGGGCACATGCAACCCCCCATCCTAAGTTTCCCATTAAAGGGAATGCTTTGAAGAGGCATTGTAAAGGCCATTTTTTAAAGTTAATTATGAATATCTTGGAAAAAAGAACAGTTTGTTCTTTGAATACTAAAATAACGGTGTTTTTAGTTAAAAAAAAAAAAAGACAAGATACAATCCCTTCTGGCAAGGACATGTAGAACAGAAAGGAATACTTGTGCACTGTTGGTGGGAAGGTAAATTGGTGCAGGATAGACATACTTAAAAAAATTAAAAATACAAATACTATATGATCCAGCAACCCCATTTCTGGATACATACCTGAAGGAAACCAAATCACTATCTGGAAGATATATCTGCAGCCACATGTTCATGTCAGCATTATTTACAATAGCCAAAACCTAAGTGTCTATTGATGGAAGAATGGGTAAAGATGTCTCTCTCACACACACACACACACACACACACACACACACACACACACACACACACACACGGATATTATTCCACTGTAAAGAAGGAAGAAGGAAGAAGGAGGAGGAGGAGGAAAAGGAAGAGAAAATCCTGCCTTTTGCGACAACATGGATGGAACTTGAGGACATTATGCTAAGTGAAATAAGACACAGAAGAACAAATACCATATGATCTCACTTACGTGTGGAATCTAGCCTAAACTCATAAAAACAGAGAACAGACTGGTGATTGTCAGCAGCAAGGGGTGAGAGGTCAGAGAAATGGGTGAGTTAAAAGGTAGAAACACCCAGTGATAAGAGTAACAGATTCTGGAGATCTAACATACAGCACAGTGACTACAGTTAACAATACAGTATTGTATAGTATTTGGAAGTTGCTAAAGTTGCTAAGAAAGTAGTTCTCATCACAAGAAAAAAAATGTAACATGTGCAGGGATGGGTATTGACTTATTGTGGTAATCATTTCTCAGTATATACCCCAATGATATTCCCCAATCATTATGTTGTATACCTTACATTGACACAATGTTATACGTCAGTGATACTGGGGTAGGGTTGGGGGGAATTGCTCTTTGGAGGCCAGTTGTTTCCAAATACACATCTAAAGCCCAGTGCTTTACTGTATGAGGATTATTTTTGATTCTTATTTAATATATGAATTGCTGGACCCTGCCCCTAGAGATTCTAATCCATTAAGTCTGGGGTGAGTCCAGGAAATCTATACTTTTACAAGTCTCCCAGTTATTCTGTCACAAAGCCAGGATTAAGAGCCACTGGAGCAGAGGACGTGTTCCTGCCAATGAGTCCTCCAGACTGGAATCATTGAATGGGCATGTGCTGCCCCCTAGTGCCCCTGGCTGCTTGGTACACTTCAGCACAATATATTAACCCTCTGTGTGAGCGCTGGTGGTCTTGCTGCCTGTCAGTACTCGGGTTTCCTGTCCAACACTCTGGAATTCTTAGGTCTTGGGAATTAATAAAAATGCTCATGCATAACTATGTTCCTAGTGAATTACAGCAACTGTGCTTCTCTGACCAAGCACCTTGGCATAACTAAAGTGTGCCATAATATTTTCTAACAATGAGACACACAACAAAACTTAATAAGGCTTGTCAGGAGGTACAACTCACGTAAGTGGAAGGTCTTCATGTCCCATGGTACATATGAATCAATAACTGTGAACAGTTTCATGATGAAATTCTACTATTACAATAGTGGTGCTGTTGTAGCATTATAATGGAAGCAGAGTCTGGCTTTATAAGTTTTCTAGAAACAAATAAAGATGAATCCTTTGGAGTTGTGTAGTCCTCCAGAGTCCACAGAGGCCTTTTCTGTACTTCATCTCCCTTGTTTGCTGGTCACTATAAACCATGAGGAAGGAAGGGCAAGTGTGAAGATCTATACCCACATCATTAAAAATGACAGTGTGTTCATTATGTAAATGTGCCCGTTTAGGAAGACACTAATCTCACTGTCCTATCCATGCAAGCACCATTTGTCAACAAGTACCAAATCAATAAAACCTGCATTGAAGGCCAATTCTGCAAAAATGTGTAAGATTATCTTTGGTTCTAACTCCACAGCTCTGAGACAGAGGAGCAAGGGCTGGGTGACTTGGTGGAGAGGAGATTTCAGCAGATGGTTCTGTGAGTTGACAGTACCATCTGCTTAGTGAGTTGACAGTAGCTGTGGGTTATTTGTAAGTGCCCTGGTTGGAGCAGGTGTGAAGTTTGCAGAATTTGATGGTTTCGACTGGAGCAAGAGGTCAGCCTAATGGAGACTGAAAACTTTTCAGAAGCAAAAGGTGGCAGCAGCTGCAGGAAGGAGGAGCTGGTTGGGTAGGATATATAGTATTCTGTTCACCTCCTCTCTAGCTCATTGGTGAGGGAGGGAGTGCCACCTTTGGGTTCTGGGGTTGGCTGAAGGCATGACACTGACACTGGACCTATGAGAGAGACAGCAGCTTATTAAGCGCATATATTCAGAGACTGGGGAGGACAACACAAACCCCACGCAGCACCACACTGGGCCATGTTAATGGGAGACAGAACTATTGCAGCAGCACAGAGGGCAGCAGTGATTGCAGGAAGCAGGGCCAGGTTGGGTAGTAATAATAAAATCATAAAAGATTCAAGCTATTTTGTAGGTATCTTGCCCTGCCACTGAGAAGCTGATGCAAGGTGCTTTTAAACTGATTTTTGTTAATGTGCCATTCAGTGCTCTTTGGTTGAAAAAAATCTTCCCTTTCCTGTATTATGGAATTTGTAAGTTCAGAAAAGATGTTGAAATGATTCCCTTTTCAACATCTTCAAAGATGTAAGGATTATCTTGAATGTAAGGTTCTGTTTTTCAATTTTGTTCTCTATAAAAAGAATGTTCAAGAAAAATATTCTGTAATCCATTTTTTTATCAAATCATTTTCAGAATATTCTTTCTTATAGCTAGTAAAAAGTCTCTCATGCTAATAATAATTGGTTTCTGGCCTTTTCTTTTTTAAACTGTGGTTAAATATACTTAACAAATTTTAACCATTTTTAACTGTACAGTTCAGGGTCATTGAGTACATTCACAATGTTGTGCCTTTTCAGAACTCTTTCCATCATTCCAAACAGAAACTCTGTACACATTGAATAAAAACTCCCTGGTTCCCTCTTCCCAAACCCCTGGTAAGATTAGTTTTTTTATTCATGTGAATTAGTCTTGTCTTTGTAATGAGATTTTTCAGTGTCTTGAGAGCAGGCAGGTAACATAACTCAACTGTCTCTGTGCTTTTGACACTGCCCAGCTCATGGATGAGCACAGATTCAGTACTGACCGCATTTGTTCAGCAGAAGAGTGGATGCTAGATGCAGGCCAAATAGCCTCTTTAGAGATTTTTGGGCCTAAGAATATTTGGGCCCTAGAACCACTCATCTGGGCAAGAACTTCTCAAGGAAATTCAGAAATCCTGGAATGTTGGGGGCATATCACAATGTCAATAGGGCCCATGGCATTAACATTAATATGCAAATCAGTGGACATCAGAGTGGTGGGTATTGAAGTTGAACAAGAAAAAGCTTGCTCTGCCTAAATGTGTTCAAACTCAGATTTTCATAAAACATTCAGCCAAACATTCCAACCATAATGGAATCAACCAAAGAGCCACAAGTTTCTGGCCCTAAATCGAAAGTCTTGCCAATAATCCAACTCCATAAATAGGATGCTATCAGGTCTGTTGAGTCTATTCTGGAAAATCAAGCCCCAAAGGTGAGCTTCATTTATGTGCTTCCGTGAAAAAGTTTCTTTCCACCCATCCCAAGCTTGACCACACAGACTGGAAGTGATCTTTTTTTAATAACTTTTTTTTAGAAAGTTTTTTTAAACTTTCTAAAGTTATGTCCTTTCCTTGCCACATCGGACATGGTCCTCTTCCTGAACCTCTCCACACTGACCACTTATTTATTGCCTGTGACACATCAAAACCCTCACTTTTCAAGACTTAACAAGACATTGCATGCCTTGCCCTCTTGTGTTTTTTTTTTAGTTATCTTCCCACTACAGGTCATATAGCTTATGGAGTTCCTCTGGCTTAGCCATTATCTCTCTTATGGGGCATGTAATATACATTAAGACTCAGTTACCTGGACATAGATGCTCGACTGTTGTCTTAAAGGAGAGGGCTGAGCCTTATCAGGGCATAGGAAATAGAAAGAGCATGGAAGAATATATGCTACCCATGACTTTGGTACTTTTAGGCCTAGGCTCTGCAACCCATGCAGACGACCAGATATCCTCACCTGAACACTGAATCACATGAGCTTCTCATAGACCAGTGCTTTTCAACCGGTGTGTGCAAGAGGCACACTCATGTGTTGCAAGAATTTTAAAAATATGCAATACCTATTTAGTCAGGGGAACTAACGTCTTTTCCCTTAGATTTTTTTTTTAAAGATTTTACTTATTTATTTTTAGAGAAAGGGGAAGGGAGGGGGAAGTAGAGGGAGGGAAACATCAATGTGTGGTTGCTTCTCACAGGACCCCACCAGGGACCTGGCCTGTAACCCAGGCATGTGCCCTGACTGGGAATTGAACTGGCAACCCTTTGGTTTGCAGGTCAGCACTCAATCCACTGAGGCACATTAGCCAGGATCCCTCAGATTGTTAAATTAAAAAAATGACAACAGCCAACACAACAATAGCGGTCCAGTGTGAATGAATCAAAATTATATCTATGTTTTGTCAGATAGGCAAAAAGTAGATTTTTTTTGGTGTGCTGAAGAATTTTAGTAATTAGTTTATGTGTGCCATGAGGTGGAAAAGGTTGAAAATCACTGTTCTAGACAGATAAAGGTCTGTGATGCTCTTCATTACCTTGTGAAACAGGAGGGCTTTGTGATGCAGTCTGGTGGTCTGGTTACATCCTCTGTGAGGCAGAGATGACAAGGTCTAGGATATGGAGGCATTAGGTTTCAGGACCTTGAAAGCCTAGGAAGATGATGGCTAGTAAGATTTAGATTATGTTGAGCCCAACATTTGTTCTGTGGGAAATTGGATATCCCTTTTACACTTATGGCTCTATCATTATTATTGCATTAATTATTTGGCAAGCGAAAAAGAACCACCAAAAATTGAAGTTGGGACCTAACAGGAGCTATTGCCGGGTAGGAAAACTCTCTGACCATGACTGAATCAATCAATTTAAGTCTCAAACAAGATTTTAATCTCCTTACTTTCTCTTGTTACTCTTACTCCCTGCTTTTTTTTGTTTTTTAATGGGGGTATCCTCATTGGATCCTAGAACAGCTCCATATGTAGGTGATTCTTCTGGTTGGTAAACACTTAGAGCCTTGGATGGCTAAAGTCCTTTGGCTACTAGACCATCCATCCTTTAATCTGTTCCGCTTTTTCTCCTGTCTCATTCTGATCTCTCCACAAAACTTATTCAGGGAATGAGGGTGGAAGTATGGAATATGGAAGTGCCTCAAAATGAATCAGAAACAAGAAGAGAAAGAAAATGATGGGTGAAAAGGTAGGGTAGGGAAAAGAAATGTAAAAGAATGTATAAAATTGGTATACAGAAAAAAGTTGGGAAATATTTGTGGGTTTTGTCTCATTTTAGACATGAAAAGAAAAGCATGCTCCAGCTTCAAACTCTAACTTTTTTGTCTGTAGCATCAACGGAGAGTCAAACAAAGGGCTAAAGATAGAACATCAAGAGGTAAACTCCCCATCTCATCTCTGACTCCCCTCCACTGTGGACGAGGTTCCATGGATTTTGTCCTTCTTTAGACCTCTGGTACTTTGGACCTATGCGGGGAACACTAAAGGATCCAATTCCCATGCTGACAAATTCTCCCAAAAGAATTTCCTGGGTGGGAAATCAGAGCCTGGGAATGTTCAAAAATCCTGCACCTTATTCCAAGGAATGAAGAATGAGGGAATGGGGCAGAAGTCTTTAACCGTGCCATATATTAGTGTTATGACCTTGTGGAACTCACTTCAGTTCTCAGTCTTTTATCCACAAAATGGGTATCTGAAGATCCTGCCTCACTCACAGTGTGGCTGTGAAGATGTAAGGAGATTAGGTCCAGGGCAGCACAATAAAACTGGTTAAGTTGTATGCAGATGTGCCTTAGAGCATTGACTGTTGGGGTTTTCATTCCCTTCTCATTCAAAGGCCTTTAGCTTCCTATAGGATGTCCCTGGATCCTCTCTCACTTCATGTAACACTGTCTCCTGGTTTCTCAGCTAGGAGACTTTCCCGGAAAGAAGCTGAGAAGCCATGGGAGCTGCTGTCTGTCATGAAAAGGTGATCACTTGCTCTTTGTAGCGTCCCAGCTCCAGCCTGGACCGGGATGATTTCTCTGTTTGGCCTGGGACAGGGATGAGGAGAGGGATAATGGCAGGAGGGAGTTGGACACAGTGGAGGCTGCAGCATGGTTGAGAGCGTTGCTGGGGCAAAGGAGGCTCAGATGTCTCGGGAGGGAGGAGTCTCCCAGTTCTGCTCTGGCTAGGCTCACAATGCTCCAGAGTTGAGAATTTGACTAGTGCTTAATTCATGAAAGACCCTACATAGGTTAGTACTCAGCCACAAGACCAGTTAGCCAGCTAAGAGAATGGGTGAATAAGTGCATAAATAAGTCATCATTGTCATATTCTTTTTACGGCTACAGCCTATCAAGGGCAGACCCCTGCACCCTGCTGACATTACCTCTGCTGGTTCTGTCTCAAGGGAATCCAGTTCCTGGGACAGTCCTCAGCCAGGAACTCAACATCTCATCCTCTTCCTGAGAACTCTAGAGATGAGATTGGTTCTCAAGAGATGTCGTATACACCTCACAGTCCCCAGGGAGCAGAGTTTCCATAGGGACCTCATTTTCCACATCTTGGAAATACTGAACACCATGTTGTGGCTTTCTTAGTTCCAAATGAGACTGAGTCCAGGCTCTACCTGGTGATGGCCCTAGTGAAGCCCTGTTAGCTAACCGTTGGCTCTCCATCCTTTGTTCCCATTTCCTGGTTAAGCTTCTCAACATAGGACAGCAGACAACTCACTCACCTCCTAGTTACTCATGACCCTGTGCTCCCACCGGTTGTCTGATATCTTGCACAACAAGCCCCAGACCCTCAGCCCAACATACCATAACTTGCCATGTGGTATTTTCATAGGAAGAAAAATAGAGGCGTAAATAGTGGGGTGGGGGGAGGGGAAAGGCCTGAACACATACAGGGCTAGGGAGAGCATGGTCAATCTCTAGGCGACACACTCCCAAAGAGGAGATGTTACTCCATCAGTAACAGTTGCCATGTTTTCTCTTCCAGCCAAGACTGGTTTCCTCCGGAGGGAAGTGTGCGGAGGCTCCTGTGTGCAGACCCCTCCTGCCCCATCTGCAATGCTGTGGCTCTGGAGATTAAGCAGTTGCTGGCGAGTGAGAACACCCCAGTCTCTCCCACTTCATCGGGGCCATCACAGGGCTCCTCTTGCTTAGAGATTTTGTCCAAATCTAGTTTGTCTTTTGATCGGAGTCAGAGTTCTCAGCACTCCAAAGAGCTTTCATATCCATCGGCTACCCCCTCAATGTCACAACTAATGGATCAGAAGAAATCCTTAACCCAGTCAACTGCCCAGTCAACTGCCCAGTCAGCTGGTGCAGTCAGCATCCAAGATTACTGGGCTGACCACCAGCTAAAGCAGGGATTTCAAGCACCAGATATGTCCTGGGATGCAGGCGTTCTGTCTTCTTCAAGCCTTGAGGAGTATAGGATTCCTGTGAATCAGCAGGACAAAAAGAGCAACATCAAATGTCTCTGGGAGAAACAAGGTCAGCAACCTTTAAATACCCTTTCTTTCTCTGAACCCACAGCTGACAAACCGAAAACATCCCATGGCCTTGCATGCCCTTCACCTGTTGTTCCTGTATTACAAAAGCTGTGAAGTATTTTAAGTACAGATGCATATACATTTCTATAGCTGAGGGCTTCCAAGACCTGTGGAAAATTTCATATTGCAGCTTATATCACACTACCCCAAATATTTCCCAAGCCTAGAGGAAAAAACAACCATTTCTTTCATCATATTGGTACCGCTAAGGTCTCTGTTGAAACAATAGGCTTTTATCTCCCTGACCTGGGGTCATAGGAGGTCAGCCAGTCCATCCAAAATATCTGGGTTTTTGAAGGATCCACAGCAAATATCCCAAACTCCATGACTCCGACTCTACCTTCTACCACCTTTTGGTTACTAAATGGTCTCTCTCTGGGGGACACACTGAGGACTCAGTGTTATCTGCAGCATAAACACAGCTATTTTTTAATGGTTCTGCTTTTCTGCACAGTCCCTGGTCCGCTCCTGGAGATTTCTCCACAAAAATGGAGTCCTCGGTCCCTTTTTTTTCAATAATTTCTCCTTAATCTCTGTACTGCCTGTTAGCTCCACCTTTTTCCCATCTGAATTTGGGCTTCTCCATCTGACTATCAAAAAGCCCATATCAATGTCCCATTTCCGACTCTGGCCCAGTGTGAAGCCTTGGAGTGGCACCTGCTGCAAAGGCAGCCCCAGCTTCAGTGGTGCTTGCCAGCTGTTGCCCAGAGATCTCTGTAGATGCAGAGAACCATGCAACATAAGCCTTGGGACAGGTTAAGCAACCAGTCCCCTGTCACCCTGGGTCTTACTGTTTGGAGAAGGCTATTTCAGTCCTGAAGAGGCAGGTAGAGTTTTCCTAGAGCATGCCCAGAGCTGCTGGAGTTCCACCTTCAGAAGTGGTCAGTTTAGCAGGTCAATTCACCATTGCTAGGGCCAGCTGCAGAAGATCCAGCAGTCCACCCAGTTTCTTCTGTCCCCTGATGACCAGCAGCTCCTACCCTGGAGCAGCACACTGACCAATGTGAGTGTCCCCTAGTCTGCAGGCCTAGAGGCTAGTGGGGATAGGGACCTTCCTGATCCCTTGTAGCAGGTGGACCAATTCGCAGTTGCTTGCTTTGGCCAAGGCAATGTTGCAGATCCATACTGACTGCCAATGGGGAAGATGCACTAGGGCATTGTCCCTGCCCACATCCGCACTGGTGGGACTGCAAATCACTGGGTCTGCAGCATTTTAGGGCCCTGGAAGCAACCTGGTTCCCTTATCCTGCAGAAAGTAAGCCCTACACGAGGCAGCAATCAGCTCTTACATGGATCAGGAAGTGACACCTGAATACTGGCAGGTCTTGATCAGCAGCAACAAACCTCTCCAGATACTGTCACTGATCACCCTGATCAGCATCTGCATAGATACCGTCTCAGGGAGTCACTGAGAAACTGAGTCACTGAGACAGGTTTTGGCCTTTCTGTTACAGCTGCTGTCTCTTTACTATGTGGCTGTCTCCAAGGCCATGGCGCCAGCAATCACTAGCCAATCAGCAATCACAGATTGGTGCCTGGGCCTGTTGGGGGTGAACAACAGAGCCTTTGGCTCAATCTCATCTAAACAGCAATGTATGAGTCCTGGGCCACGTTTTCAAGGTGCTAATGAAACTTGTACAGACAATGCTCAAGCATTCCAGATTTAACTACAGATGAATGGATATGGTGCCTTAGATAGCCAGACAGATCCTAGTAGCCCCTACTCACTCAATACACCCATCTTGACCAAACTAAATTTTTACCTGAAAAAGAAATATTCAGCCCTGGCTAGTGTGGGTCAGTGAATTGAATGTCAGACTGCCAACCAAAGAGTTGCAGGTTTGATTCCCAGTCAGAGCACATGCCTGGATTGCAGGTCAGGCCCCCAGTATGCGGGGCTTGAGAGGCAACCACACATTGATGTTTCTCTCCCTCTGTATCTCCCTTCCTTTCCCTCTCTAAAAATAAATAAATAAAATCTTTTAAAAAAGAGAAATATTCAGGGATACATTTGGGAAGTCTCATAAAGTCAAAGTAGTCCAGGGAAGAAACTTTGGCTGTCCCAAAGAATACCTGCAATAGTAGTCCTTTAGGAATCTAAACAATCAAGGGAAAACATTTCCCCAGGAACTCCCCATCTCACCAGGCATCCCATGTGCCCCAGAATGTTCTACCTTAAAGAAGAGCTTGCAATTAAACTAAGGCTGTGCAGCAGAACCAAAAGTAGGCTAATTCCAGAGCATTCCTATGGCTCTGCCCACTGCGCCTTCAAGATCTCACAACCCAGTGGGTACATGGCAGAGGCTCAGGTGCTTTGTGTTCAGCTGAAGGCCAGTGTGAACAACCCCAGGCTGGAGGAGCCCTGGGCTCCTTAACCCCAGATCTCTACCAGAGTAAAGGTAATTCCCTACTCCAGCAGAGAAAACAGAGGACCCAGGGAAGCTCAAAACAGCAGAGAATTACAGAGAAAGGGGTGCAAGCATTGAGGCTCTCCCAACCAAAGAGAACATCTAATCTACCAAGATTCAGGGTCCGGTAGGGACACTTTTAAGTAGAACCTCTAAAGCCCTCAACTTCTCAAATTTATCCCCAGGATCTTTCTCAGGTAGAATTTTAGCTTGACCAAGATAGTTGCCTTGAGTGAGTGGGGACTAGCAAGGATGTGTCTGGATCCTTAGAGCCACCTACTCCATCCTCCCAGCTTACTGCTCCCTGTCAGCACTTTCACTAGCTTCTCCCTCACCTTGAGTTCCTCCAGCATCCTCTAGCATTCCTTAAGGCAAAAGATTCAGATAAGAATATGATCTCACTTATATGTGGAACCTAATGAACAAAATAAACTGATGAACAAACTATAAATAGAAGCATGGACACATGGAACAGACTGACAGTTGTCAGAGGGAAGGGAGGGCTACATGAAAGAAGGTGAAGGGATTAACTAAAGAACATATATGCATGATCCATGGACACAGACAACAGTGTGGTGATGGCCAGAGGGAAAGGGGTTGTGAGGGCCGGGTGGAAGTGGCAAAGGTGGGGGGGGGGCGTGCAAAATGGGGACATCTGTAATGGTGTCAACAATAAAAATAAAGACAAAACAAAGGGCTGTTAGAGCAAGCTGAATGACCTTATCCAAATAATTATTCCTGAGAATGTCAAATCTGGAGTGCCCAGAGCTTAAATGGCCTGACCTTACAGGATCGATTTACTAAGTTACCATTCACTAGACCAAAATTTGAAAGCCCAGCATTTGAAGGGGCCACATTTTTCATATCCAAGCTTTGCAGCAACAAAATTTGTAGGGCCACACTTTCTAGGGCCAGGAATTATAGGGTCTGGTAAAGGCAGCTCATACTCACAAGAGCCCTACCCTTCCAGAAGCTGCAGAAGCTGGCTTGGGAAATAAGAGGAAGCATGTTCCACACTGGATTAACCCCAAGGTGAAAGGTGAAGGGAATAAGGAATCCATTCTCCTCTCTAAGGATGAAACACTGGCCAAAACTACGACAAAAAAGATTGAGAAGAGCCCACCCTCCACCAAAGGCCCTGTGAGGCTAGCTAAGTTGGAGAAGACAACAGAGGACAAGGGTATCACTTTCTTTGATGCCCACCAGTGCCTAGACAACGAAGTCCAGCAACAGCCCTTTCAGTCCAGCCGCTCCTGGTTCCAGTGCTTTTCCCACAGCAGCCCTAAGCACTATCCTCAACTGACTTATGCCACACAACCCAAAATCTCAACTCTCACTTCAGCAGGAGGCATTGGCCTATACAAGAATACCCATTCCAGAAAAAAGGAGTTCTGAGTTTCTCAAACCTCTGCATCTCCCTGAAAAAAGGCTGTCATCATTTCCAGTATTATGCAGGTGAGGCAGCACCTTCTCCAAATATACTCTATACCTCTAAGCAAAGAACCACCTGTTTTTGTCTCCTTATTTTCAATGTGGTATGAGATGGAGAGAGTAGAGGAGGTACTTCCCCTATAGTATAAGAGTTTAAACTCATATTTCAGGTGGGTCAGCATTCTGTACAACTCTTTCAGCCCCACTCTGGACTACAGATAAAAGGACTTGAGCAGAAAAGGAAGACCCTCCTCTAAGGTGCATTGAAGGTAAAGATCAGGCTTGAAATCTCCCCATGGTGCCTTTGGGCCCCAGAGGAGCAATGTGGACATGAGAATAGTACAAAAAGTAGTGGCCAGGGGTCCAGTGCATTTTTGTCCCATAGGCACAATTCATAGATAACCTTTGTATATGCCCACAGTCTGGAGGGAAGGTTTTCAGAGGAGTGTGCACCATTCTTGAGGATGTGCTTTATGTTTATCAAAAGCAGGAAGCTAATATGACAGATGTCAACATCAAGTCATAGCATCTCCCCTATATGTGCCCTGTTGTTGGTGATTAGCTCTTTAAGAGATAAGCCATCTGGGAACCTTCTGTAGCCCTGTTGACTGTTTGAACCTCATTGCCTTTCACCTGCATATAATGAATGCTTCCGAAAAGAATAGTTGAAGGGAAGGTCCCCAAAAGGGTCGCAATAAAAAATGCCTTTGAGCTTAGTTTTGCATTCAACAATTCAAATATCTGAGTACTTTATATGCTAGGTACTATCACAGATCCTAGGGACATAACAGTGAATAGCACACCAACCCTTCTCCCATGGAGTTCATGGAATCATGGAGTAGATGGCTAAATAAAAAGTCACTAAAAGCAATGTGGTAAGAGCTGGTTAGAAGAAATAAGTGACCTAGAGATGTAAAGTACAGCATAGGGAATATAGTCAATAATAATGTAATAACTATGTATGAGGTCAGATGGGTACTAGATTTATTGAGGTGATCACTTAATAAATTATATAATGTCCAATCACTGGGTTATGTCCCTGACCCTAATATAATGTATGTCAGCTATAGTTGGAAAATTAAAATTATTTTAAAAAGATGTTATTTATTTTTAGAGAAGGGGAAGGCAGAGAGAAAGAGAGAAAGAAACCTCAATGTGCAAAAGAAACATTGCTTGGTTGCCTCTTGCACACCCCCAACCAGGTACCTGGCTGCAACCCAGGCATGTACCCTGACCAGGAATCGAACTGGTGAGCTTTTGCTTTGTGGGACGATGTCCAAGCAACTGAGCCACACCAGTCAGGGCATAAAAATTATGTTTATTAAAAGAAATAAATGACAGAGACAGGAGGGTATTTAACCTAGTTTGGGGGGGTTATGATTTATGGAAATTTTCCTGGAAGACATGACATATAGACAGTTTCAAAGGATGAGCAGAAGTTAGCCAGCAAGTAGGTCATGGGGAACAGAGGTTTTCTCAGGCTGAGAGTACAACATAAACAAAGGCATGGTGTCAAACCAATGGGCTTACCATGTCAGAGAACAGCAGCTTGTTGGAGAAGAACCTGTAATAATAAAAAAAATATATTAAAATGTTTGAAGGTTTCAAATGAGATTGCCAAGCTGGAGAATAAATGACATTCAGTCAACAATTGTTTTCTTTTCTCAACCAATATTGAGAATCTACTCTATGCAAAGCATTTGTATAGGCACCGAGAATACGCAGTGAACAAAAGGGAAAAAACTCAATCACTAATGAATTTACATTGATGGTGCTCTAGAGAGGGAGATAAAGAACCATAAGTGAAAAAATACAGTATGTAGAAGGTGACCAAATAAATGCAAAAATCATGGTAGGAGTCTTGGGGAAGACATAGGTGGGACACAGTTTTCAGTAGGGGGTTCAGGGCAGATGTCTCTAAAACATTGACATGTGAACATGGACTAGAGGGAGGAGAGTAAACCACACAGATAACTGAGGAAGAACATTCCAGTCAGAAAGTATAGCTAATGCACATGTCTGGAGGCTGGAGCATGCCTTGTCTATTCCAAGGTATAAGGACAGTGAGCCTGAAGCAGAATAAGCAAGCGATAAAGTACTAGAGGATGAGGTCAAAGGAGTAAAGGGGGCAGATGAGGTAAGGCCTAGGAGGTCATAGCAAAGACGACGCTGAATAAATGGGGAGAGCTAGCAGAGGAACTTCTTAGAGCTGACATATTTTAAAAGGATCACTTAGGCTGTGGTGTTAATAGAGGGTTGGGGCTGTGGACTTGTGTAGAAGCAGAAGGATTCTTTATGAGGTTACTCCAGTAATGGTAGGAGCAGAGGAGACTCAAAGTATTTAGATGCTGGATTCTTTTTAAAGGTAGACACAACAGAATTTACTGATAGATCAGATGTGGACAGTTAGAGAAAAAAAGTCAAGGAATGACACCAATGTTTTTGGCTTAAACAACTGGTGAGATGGAGTTGTAATTAACTAATGTGACAAATGCTTTGATTGGCGCAGGGCAACAATTTTCAATGGGTGTGCTGCAACAGGCACACTGGTGTGATGCAAAAAATTTTGAAACATGCAATACCTAACTATTTAGTCAGGGGCACTGACCTCTTTTCCCTTAGATTGTCAAATAAAAAAAAATGACAACAGACTTCACAAGAATAGCTGTTCAGTTTGAATGAATCAAAATTATACCTATTTTTTGTCAGATTGGCAAGAAATATATTTTTTGGAGTGCTGTAGAATTGTAGTAATTTATGTGTGCCATGAGATTAAAAAATTGAAAATCACTGGAGATATATGTAATTGCATGGGGGGGTTGGGTAATTAGGAGTTCAGTTTTGTATAGTTAGAGATGGATACTGGACATTCAAGTATATATGTTGATTAGACAGTTTGGACATATTGCCTTCCCTGGAGTTCAGGGAAGAGCCCAGGCTTTAGGCAGACAGCCAGATAAATAGATATACATAGGTGATGATACAAAGATAGATAGATAGATAGATAGATAGATAGATAGATAGATAGATAGATAGATAGATAATAGATAGACAGATGGACAGATAGATTTAAAACCATGAACCATGAGACTGGACTGGGAAGGCAGATCAATTATTACATCAATGTGATGAGTGCTATGGTATGTGAGGTCCTGCCACAGGAGGAAGTACTCAGGTGATAAGGAGAACCCTAGGGTCACATAAAGTGGTCACAATAAAAATGACCTTAAAAAATAAAAATAAAATAAAAATGACCTCAAGAGGCACCTTGCATTCAACAGTTAAAATATGTGAGTACTTATTGTGTTCCAGAAACTATGCCAGACACAACATTCACCAAGACACAGGCCTTGCCTCTATAGAGATCATTATCTTATGGGGTAGACAGCCTCACATGCCCAAATTGTCTTATTAAAATATGTACTTGCTTGTTCAATAGTCATCTCAAATGTGAACTACTAATTCCCTGTAACCACCATCCCCCAAACCTGTTCTCACTGTAGTATTTCCCACATCAATTAAGGCACCAGTCTCTTGCCAGTTGTTCAGGCCAAAACCATTGGTGCCATTCTTGATTTTTGTTTCTAACAATCCACTTCTACTCCATCAGTAAAATCCTGTTGTCTCTACTTTCAGAACAAATCCAGAACATGACCACTTCTCACCTCCTCTGCTGCTATGATTACTGCAAATAATATCCCAACTTTTCTTGACACCACATCTCCTATAGTCTATCCTCAACAAAGAATCCTGATGGTCCTCAGGAAGGCTCCTGCCTGCAGATGATTGGTTGGTTGATTGATTGATTGACTGATGTATATAAAACCGTGAGACCAGATAAGGTCACAAAGGGAATGAGTATAAATGAAGGACCGAAGCGTAGGAAGTGCTATCACTTCCTTATAATGTGGTGGGGGGACTGTGGGATACCCCTGCCTCACTGATTCCTAAGGAAATCTATGATGACTCAACATTCCATCAAATGAGGAGGTGGTGGTGGCAGAACTCCCTTCCTCTGATGGACCCCAGCACTTAGCACAATGTGTTCAGTGCTAGCAGATGCAGAAAAGCTGGGATGGGAAGAAGGAAGAATGTGTCCCCCTTAGAATGGTGATGTTATGCCTAAGGGGTGGGGGTATAGCCCCCTCGTGCAGCCTCCAGGATGAGAAGGCACAAGGCCCAGGCCTGCTGAGCCAACACCCTCCAGGTGTTTTCCTAAAGCATCCCCAAAGATCACTGGAGGTCTCGTGACAGGCACATCCTCCCTGCCTGGTGGGAGCTGGGCAGAAAGTCATGTGAAAGGATGCCCAGCAGAAGGAAAGTGACTCAGGCTGGTCACAACAGCATCAGGTGGGAAGCCAAGGTTAATGTGCACACATCCTGTCTAGGTGGAACAAGTTTTTCCCATGACCCCTCAGGCTTCTACCTGCCCCAGCAGATTTCTATCTTGGAATTTCAGGCAACTGACCACTACCAATTGCCTGACTTTTGTACCTGTTCACTCTGCCCTAGCAGAAAGTCATAGAATATGCTGAGCAAGTGAGTGTGTGAAACCATCTTCTTGCTTTTGCTTAATCTGGTCATGCCAACTTCTTGCCAGCAGGGGTCCTAGATTCTCTGAGCCTAAACTGAAACTCCCGGCCCTTATAGAATTCCCAGCCTGTTGGAATGCTCAGACTCGAGGACTCAGTCATCTCTGCTTGTTCACTCAAATTCTAGTCCCTGTCCACTGCGTACAACATCCCCTGCCCCTAAATTTCCACACCCTCTGAATCTTATCCTCCTTCCACATCTCTATTTTGGCTAAGCTTCCCATTGCCACACTATACTTGCCTAGTCCAGGCTGAATCCTTAGGAAGATATTAGTAACGTATGAATACAAGGTCTATCCAGAAGGTATCCAGCCATGTAATATGAAAAATAGAGACATTTATTGAAGAAAATACAAGATACAAGAAACATTG